GTCATCGGTCGTCGGTGTGTGGTCGTCGAAATCCGTTATCCTGAAAAATGATGGGATCCTCGACTCCTCTTCCGTGAACGCACACACACATTACATACACACGCACACACACACACACTGTCTATATACGTACAAATCTATCTATATATATATATATATAGAAGATCTTCCCTTCTTTCCCAACGAAACGATCGATACGGAATAAATTAGGCGCTAAATAAATAGAACGGTTCGCTACGAGTTTTAATTAGGTTAAATTCCATCCACACTCGCTGCATCTCCATTCACCTCGTCTGTCTTCCGCTATCTCTCTTTCATTTTGCTCGTTAATCCTTTTCTGTTTTTTTTTTTTTTTTTTTTTTTTTATTTAGTAATCTTGTTCACCACCGAGAAAGGTCATAGGTACATCTTCCTCGGTGTTCCGTCGATTTTCCTCGCGGTTCCATGGTGTGTGTGCGTCGATCCTCGGGGGACAGAGGAAAGAGAAGACACGACACACCGATGATCGATATGCGCGGCCAGAAACTCTACGAAACCTAAAAAAAACTCTTGCCCGTTTCACGGTTCCGTCGTCCCTGTTTCTCGTATTCAGTTTCGTGCAGCAAAAAAACCGAACGAAGTACGGCCGCGTGTAAATTATTTACGGTCGATACTAAAGCAGCCCCCTCGGGGGGTGCAATGTTCTAAATTACAAATATATATAATATATATATACATGGTCTCTCAAAAAGATGGGACAATCCGCAACATGGATATTGTTCATGCAAATAGAAATCAAAAAATCGTTTACCGTTTTGTAATCTGAAGCTCCATTCCCGAGATATTTGCAGTTAACCGAACTCCAATCAGCTGAGCGGTCGGAGAGCACAGTCAAGAAGAGTGTGCCCCAGTGGTCAGCTGATTGGGGTTCGTTTGACTGCTAATATCTCGGAAACGAAGCTTCAGATTACAAAACGGTAAAGGACTTTTCGATTTGTATTTGCACGAGGTACATCCATATTGCGAATTGTTCCATCTTTTTGGGACACCCTATATATATACACATATTTATGTAATATGTATATTTATAAAATTCGAATGAACGTTTTCGATCAAGCTATAGTGGCTATTCTTTTCCTCGTTTGTCTTCTGTACCGTTCTCGTTCACTCTCTCCCATTCTCCCTCCATTTCTTTCTCTCTCTTTCGAACACAGGCAGTCTTTTGCACGCTCCCAATATTTTCCCTTTCACCCTCTTTCTCTCCTGTTCGCGTTTCACCTATATCGATCTCGGAGTTCCATCCTTTATACCTTTATATAATTGCGTATTCTTTACGATCGCTCGCGGTTTCTTCTCGTATTTTAGATCATCGTATAGAATGAACACGTTGTCGCTTCGTTTCAAGTCTCTCCCACTTTGTCGATCGTTGTTCTATCCTTTTTTTCGTGTTTCCTTCGCGGGTATCAGTAATAACCGGTTGATTAATGCAAAAATACTAGTTGAATCCGTGTACATGAAAACCGCGGGGACGCAGCAACGATGGTGGTTTCTGCGTCCTCTTCCCGCGTAATAAACATATACGTCCCCGTGTGTTTTAGATGTTCACTTTGTGTATGCGCTATGAGTGTGTATGTCTGTCTGTCTGTCTGTCTGTCTGTCTGTCTGTCTGTCTGTCTGTCTGTCTCTCTCTCTCTCTCTCTCTCTCTCTCTCTCTCTCTCTCTCTCTCTCTCTCTCATGTATATTTGTAAATCTCTGTCGACACTATACCACTCGTTCTCTCGTTCTTGGTGGACTCAAAAAAGCGTTACTTTTATTTGTTTCTAAAGGTTCGTTTACTTACAAGGTATTTGGTTTTGCTTCATGCATCGCACTGGACATGCAGTTTTCTCGTTTAGGTATATAAATTATGGTAATGATTCTGTATTATAATTATAATAATAATAATTATTATTATTAATATTAATATTATCATTGTGTGTTCGGTGATATACCGCCCGGTAATTCTCTTGCTGGTCGCGAAATCAGTTGCTCAAACTCTCTTTCTGTCTCCCTCTCTCGCTTTCTTCTATCTTTCTCTCACACTACCAACATTTTCGCTTCGCGCACCGCTCGCAATTATAATGCTTAACGCGAGTGTATACCCGACAAAAAGCGCGTCAAACGTGTTTTTCTCGGTGTCTATTCGAAATCACCGCGCTCGTCTAATAATTCATATATCGGCAGCCTTGAACACGCGGTACAGATCGTGGTAAAAAGGAATGATATTTATCGTTCTTGTCGATAAAGGCTACGGTCGTTTCGCTACACCGTGTGACAAAAGCTGAAATAAGGAGCATTTTGTATGTAAGGGAGATGGGGGGGAACGGATCGCTGAAATAGGGCAGCATCGAGATCGCCTCGTTTCGGATGAACCGTGAACAGAGATTAATATCCGTGTGACGTTGGCCTCCTAAGTGTTACGCCGCGGTAGAAAAAAGCGAGAAAGCTCCGCCAAGTCGCGTGTACGTGTGTCCGTTGTATCTGTCTCTTCTGTCAAAACCATTGAAGAACGAACGAAGAATAAGAAGAACCGAAATTCATTCGATAAGAACCGTTTCCAGCGTCGTACACGTTGAACCACGCATTCAAATCCGTCGGAGAAAAGCTACAGCCTAACGATGACCCGCGAACATGCAACACACGAACGAACGTATAATAAAGCGGAGACAAAGTCGAGCGAACGAGGGGAAACAAAAAAAAAAAAGAAAAAAGAACAGAAACAATCTCTCAATTTTCCAAAAGATCAGTTGTAGTCGAGAGCTTTACCCCTTGTTTCTGCCAGAAATCGAGCCCGATGTATCTATAAAAAAAAAAAAAGCATAAAAGCCCATCGTGTTACGAGGTTAATGATATTTCACAACGAAATATCTCGGTGAAGAGTGCCTACGGAGGTACGAGAATAAAGAGAGGAAAGTGCAGAGAATATTCGTGTGAATACCGTGAAGAGGAACCGAGAGCATAAAGAGACTGGTGGAGTTAATTGAGAGACATAGCGAGATAGAGGAAGAGGAGACGAAAATAAGAGCTGGAGGCGAAGGAGAGAATTATCAAGAAACGATCGTGATGGTGCGCGATGGTAGCTAAACAGGGTCTACTGTCTGTGTCCACGGACCCTGAATATATATAATATATATATATATATATATATATATACGTCGGTGATCCTGGGCGGCGCGGTTGTTCTAAGACGCCTCGCTGCGATCAGCGTTAGATTGGCGGCCGACACGAGGGCGGTGGTGGTGACGTTGTTGCTCGTATTCGTGGCACCCTGATTAGTGGTGGGTCACTTCTTGCTCTTCTTGGTGGGCGGCTCTTGCGCGTCCTGCACGTCCTGCGAGTCCTCGGTGTCCTCCTCGCTGTCGGTCGGCCGCGGTGTGTTGTTGCTGTCCTCGTTGTCGTTCGTCGCCAGCGAATCGTTTGTGTCCTCGCTGGCGACCGCGACCGTGATCGGTGTCGCCGGTTTGTCCATCGAGTCCTCGGTGAACGACGTGGTCGTGCTGTTCTCGTCGATGGCCGCCGGATCGATACTGCCCGGCTCCTTGCCGTTCACCACCGCCACATCCTGATTACTGTCGTCCGACGGTTCCGTTGCCTCCCCGTTGCTGGGCGGATGCGAGTTCCCGTTCTCCGTGGCGCCGGGGATCCCGTCCAGCAGCTCGGGCTTCAGCTCGGACGCGACGTAGTGGGTCCAGAGCGCCAGCTCCACCCTGTGGGGACTCCATGTTTTGCCGTTCGACGCTGCAAACGAGACGGGGATCGGAATTTGAACGACGGGACTGGATTAAAGACGCGATCCGCGGACGATCCGCAACGATGATGGAAATACACAGCTAACAGAAATCTACACTTTCCTTTGTGCGGATACTACAGTCAGTCGAAGAAGTTCTTTCTACACTGTTTAGAACGGAACAACTATTTCGTGAAATTGGACCAAACGACTGCGAGCTTTTTCTGTATGACGTTAGAAGAATTAGTTTATCAAGTGATGTGTCGATAAAATTTCGAAAATATTGCAACTCCGACTGCCGAGACTGTAATGAAAATTTAATAAATACATTTCGAAGATTTATGTTATTTATATACAGGGTGAGTCAATAAGAACTGCGGTAAATCGTGGATGAGTGAAGGCTCCTCGGCATAGGACATTAAATATTTCATAAACTAATGACGATATGCGACTGAAACAAATATCATTGGCTTCTGAATTCCAAGGTCTATCACTGCGCTAAACTACTTGTTTGAGGAGTCTTCGAACACCCATCGAGGATTTACTGTACTGTCTAAAATAACTCATTACCTATTAGTTGCATAAAAAAAAACGTTTTAAGGAATTATATAGCATTTTCATTATCTTTTCGTTTTAAATGCAAAGTGACCTTAAGTTTCTTCAAGGTAAATGCATCTGTCTTTTAAATATACGCGTGAAGAGAACGCTAGTCTCAAAGGAGACACTCACTCTGTTTGTTCAGCCTTTCGACGGTGTTTTGAATGTGCTGGACGAAGTTTAGGTACTCCTTGGTGGTGTAATCGATGCCCTCGATTTCCGGTATCGCCATTAGGCATTCATCCGCCATGAACGGCGCGTTCTCCGGCGACGCAGCGGCCAAGAGAGCCGAGGCCATCGTGGTGCCGACGCCTTTCAGATTCGAGAGAGCGGTGATCGCCTGTTCAAGATTCGGAAGCTTTTTGAACGCCTTCTTCGTCTCAGCCATCACGGCCCTGGGTGTGTTCACTTTGACCAGGTAGGACAGCTGCGGATAGAACTTTCCGCGCTGGAAAAAAAACAATCGGACAAAATCGTCCTCGGTTAAAAAAGAAAGAAACCGCTGCTACGTGATCCCTTTTCAGGGGAAACAGAAAAATTGCTTTCTTCTCGACGAAAAATTCGCCAGAATATACTTGTACTCACTATTTGCTTCCATTTCATCGTTTGCACCAGCTCCTCGTGATTGAGGTGCGCGTCCTTGCCACGTGACTTGATCTTCTTTGGAAGCTCATTCTGATACCTGCAAACAGAAAGCAGTCGCGGATACGGTTAGGGATGAACGGATGCAAGCAAATACAAGTAATAAACGTTCTTTAACCAAATGTATCTTCGTTAAAATCAGAGATAAGCAAACTCATTATCTGGATAAAGAGTTTCGAATAACGAGTAAAAGATAAAAGAGAAAAGTACTTCGTCATTTCTCATCATTCAAACGTAGAAATTCAATTCGAATTATTATAAATCTCATTAACTGTTTCAAGCTCAGGATTAAGGCTTTAAGTACTGCAGCTTTTATTCGAATAAAATTATCACTGCCTTGGAACACTCATCGAGGGATTTACTGTACTCGATTCCCGAGGGGGACAGATCGTGTATCGACGAGGAACAATAACGAATAATTATTCTTTGGTTTCAATTTAAACAGTTTCGGATCACGGAAACGCTCGGTGTACTCGTGTGATTCATTCGAGAGGATTTAAAGAGCTGGAACAGCCTGAAGGAAACAGGGCGAACACGCACACATTTAGGTGTTGGTGCCTCCACCCTTCTACAAGAATCTGGTCTCGTTTACTCGAAACGTCTTGAGGTTCAGGTAACGTCTCCTCTTCGTTTCCTTTTTTTTTCCTCTCCCCTCTCCTCCTTTGTCCCCATTCTTCGGGTCATCGACACACAGGGGGAGGGGGGTGAGTCTTTCTGTTCTCTGGAGCTGAGGCTGCGCCAGTGAGGGCGACAGAGAAATACACACACATATTTTATATGTAGGTAAGTGCTTTCGGAGAGGTCGTGTCGAGATCAGCTGTTCGCCGGCCGAGGAGGTAAACTTAGTTGCGGATAGTTTGTATTTCATTCATACATAACGCGACACTTACGAGTCACGTGTTTCCTTGAATTACGAGCACGCGCGCGCTTGTCTTCGGAAGAAACCACGCGACCTGTGTACGAACTATGTAATTATGTCAGGGTGTTCCGAAACAGAATTCGGCTCAATTTTATTTGAATAATATACAGGGTGTCTTCAGGTAACTTGATCACATCGAATTATGACTTAACGGTATACTTTATGAAAATTTTTGAAGTATGGAAATTAAATGGCATCAAGGGGCACATCTTATAAGGCACGTGCCTTTTTGTGGGTGGAGGCATTTCAAAGATTTTAAGATCTGCTTGATTTTTTTTAACGGAATGACCGATTTTTTGTACCGTAGAGAGTTGAGGGGCATCATTTGGAGCACTTATAACTTTCAGATAGTAAGTACGCATTAAAAATTATTTTTTAAATTTCTTTACTACAGATATCCAAGTGTTAACGAAATCCGAATTGTTACTCCAAAAAGTGTCCGATTGCACGTGGAATGATCCATTAATGAACGGAGATTTGTAGGAGTAATTTACTTGGGGAAATAATGGATGATACCGAGAAAATACAATCGCAGAAAATATGCTATTCGTTACAGGCAAAAATCTGGATATATATATATATATGTATACGCCAAGATTAGAATTCTTTTATTACTGGTAAAGCTCGGTGTACTACTCGATTCCACCTGCAGCGCCAAAACTCTCCAAGGGGTTTTTCCCGCGCGCAATAAAGCTACGAAAGATAAGCTCGCAAATGATCCTCTTTTTGGCAAAATAAAGCTTGCTCGATATCATCGCGACTGTAATTCACCGGAATCTAAAGGAATCGCCGACTTTCCAAACGTATTTAAGTACTCGACCGAAATAGCTTCGCGTGCACTTAATAACAATGTCTCACTGGATTTTCTTCGCTTGTGTGTGTGCGTGTACAGTAGTGATTTTTAAAAAATTAAAAAATGAATTCCAGCCCTTTCAAAGCCCCGCCCCGCACCATTGATTCTAAAGCTGCGTCTACACTATATTGCGAAGCAGTGTTACATAACATAAATATAACATTTCGCATCTCGTTATTAGTAAGGGCGATCATACTTGATGGATAACATATAACTTGCTATTTATATATAACACGAAAAATATTATGTAACATCATGTTACATAATATTTTACTTTCTGTTTTTCAAACAAGTTATAGAACCTTTGCTATATAACGTGTTGTATAGTGTAGACGCAGCTTAATACACAGCTTCACAGCGAGCGAAATTCTACCTGTCTTTATACGGCGCCGAACAGAAAGGCGAAAGAAAGAAGAGAAAAAAAAAACTAGTAAGTACCAAGGGAATGCAAAGTATGTTCCATCGCTGTTAATTGGCTTCAATCGATCCGCGGATACGAAGCATCGAACGCGATTCCAGAACCCCGATTCGAATCGCTGGGAGACACGATTTAATATTTAACTTTCGTCTGAAATATTTTGTAATATCGTAAACAATTTAGATTTGTAAACTGCAATTCCTTCTGTACTTAATTCTGTCCTTTACTTCGTGAAGGGAAACACAAGTGCCGAATAAGCATTTCGGCTGAATTCCCCGGGACTAAATTGGAAAGTGTGCGACAAAAATAATAGGGGAAGGGGGTGAAACTTCAGAAAAATTGTCCCGCACAGAAAGTCGGAAAAACACTCGGTCGAGTGGCTAACCGTGTGCGTTCTTTGAGCCCGGTTTCTTTTGAGAACGGCGTCGAAACCTTTTCAGACCGGTCGCCGCTCGCGCAACCATTTCGAGAGGCGCTCGGTGCCGCGCGCGCGACACGACACAACGAAATGAAACGCAACGCAACACAACGCAAAAACAACCTTGACACAATCGCCGCGCGCTTCAGCCTGCGATTGTGACTCGCGAGAACTTTACCAGGCTTATTTTTCCACGCCACTTTTTACCGTGATTCTTTCTACCTTTTCCATTTCGCCCCCCACGATGCCTTTAAAAGCACCATATTTTGCGAGTTCCAAAAGGGAACCTGAAGACCCGTCTCTCCTATTCCTACAACCTCATCTCTCGGCTTTTCGAGCGTCGTCAAACGTTTCGGTACACGAATTCCTACTAGGACTGTCGTGAATATTCCAAGTATTCGGAGTATTCGAATATTCAAAGTATACGGATTATTCAGAGTATTCGAATATATTCAAATATTCATCCGAAATTCAAACTGGTACAGTTGGGGTCCTTTCCTTGTCGGATGTTACGAATAAACCATTACATATCTCAATACATTAACTCCTCGATGAATGTTCGAAGGCTTCTCGGCACTGAACATTAAATATTTCATAAACTAACATAATTAGCTTCAAAATTCCAAGCTCTATCACTCTACTAAACCTCATTAACAAGTCAGCGTTACACATGAAAACATCTCTTTGTCAGTACTGAGAAGCCTTCGAACACTAATCGAGGATCTACTGTATACATATAAAGTACCGTTCACCCGTAACGGAGTTATAATAGTTGAATGCGCGAAAGCGAACCGAGATAGAGAGCTTTTCAAAATCTACAGGATACCGCGGACGGTTGTTGCGGTTTACGATTTCCTGTTTTCGCGGACGAGGGAAGCCTTGAATTCGGCGCACGCGGTCGCAGGAACGGAACGGGCACACACTCGGCCGATTTATCGGGGATCGTGGATCAGCGTCAAGAATCGCCGAACCACCACGACCACGGGGTATGGAATACTACAGCCCGCCGTCGGCCGACATTCGATTTTGCCCTGGCCGCTCGCGACCCAAATGTTTTCGTTGTCGCGTCGTGACGAACCGGTGCGTATCAGCGAAAATATGAACCGCACAAAAGATCGCCGGAAAATCGTAAAGCCAGTGTGTCCTGGCTGGTCTAGGTCGTTGGTTTGTTTACCGAAATTTCTGTAGTTAATGAGATCAACCCTTTTGGACCTGAATTTTCTTTCAAGAGTAACAAAAATGTTTGATTACACATTTTTTTTACAAAAAATGTTCGTTATTCTTGAATTTACTAGACCTACTAAAACCGTTCCGAACACGAATTCATATTTATAAAAAAATATGGATCTGCAACACACTGTACCTAAGGCTTGCGTGAAACTGTACAGATTTGAAAGGGTTAAACAGTTGTCGCGTACGAGGGCGTTAATCGAAGAAACATACGATAGATTCAGCGAAGTCTAACGCGTCGAACAAACATCTCCGAGCACGGCTCGATTCGTGTGTACAGAAACACGCAAAATGGCCGAAAGAAATATATATTTTAACACAGAAATTATCTCGTATTTTGTCAAAAGGAACGATCAACTTTTAATATCCAAGATCGTTTCTATCGGAAAGCAAAGCTACGTGTTCATACGAGCTCTTCAATGGTGTATGTATATACACGCGTCTATCCCATTTAAGAGACTGTCGGCTGACGTTCAGACGTTTACGAGCCGTCCGTTCGTTACAACGTGGGGAAAAGAAAAAAGGAAGGACTGCCTCACCGAGGTGAGACCATTCCGTCGACCACGGAGAAACACGTGGAGTTACACAACCGGTCGTTACAGCATCGGAAAAATAAACGATCGTAAAGTACTCCCCGATACGCCAAAAAGAAAAAGAAAACAAAAAGAGAAAAAACGAGAATTCGCGGTCGTGCGCGCTAATAAGATATTCTCGGGGCAATCTACGCAAAATCGCACGGTGTGATTCGACACAGCGTTAAGTTCGATTAATTTTCATATGGCCAATTTTAAAGTCTCCATATTTGAAAAAATTTGCCTATACAGAGGACAAATAGGATTATATCCTCATGTTTTTTTTCATTTTTAGATAGTGTCCCGTTATTATAACATTGCTTTTCTTTAAAACAATTACAAAATGAATGGTTGAAAAATATTTTTTATTAAGTGCCCTTACGTCTCTACTATAGGCATCCACGAAGCTCATTCTGATCGGTTTGTTAGTTCAACAGTTATGGTTTATTGAAAAAAGGTTGACACAATATTTCAAACAGGTGTGGAATCAATAATTTCTCAAATGTTCAAAAATCCTTCGAGATACGTTTATATATCGCTAAAGACTAAAACATATCCAACTGTCAACAAAATCCGAAATGTTACTTCAAAAAGTGAAGTGCCCACAGATATGAAAAAAATACACGATCTTAATATTTTATTTCGTAATTTAAAAGACCCAGTCATGCGGCAATAGTGGGACTGAAAGAGGGTTAATGACATCGATCGGATGGATCGTTATACATGCAGAAACTCGCTAAAAATCCCCTGTTTCAATTTCCCAGACGGATTGGAACGCGTTCTCTGAAAGCATACTTCTGCAACAATTACACATTCACCGGGATCGATCGATCGACCGCTCGATCATTCGTGGAGATTGCAGCGGAAGCACGATTGATCGCAAAGGAATCGATTCCAGTTTGCAAAAAAAAGAAAAAAAAATAAAGTAAAGAGGCCAGAGAGCCGCTCCTCTAACGAAGAATGAATAATTAAATGGTAAAACGCGATCGGTAAGGGGAAAAAAGATTCCATTATTGATTGCCCGATTCCGCGCGCTGCCTCGTCACGACGGAAAGACTGAAAAAGCCTTAACGCGGAATTCAACGAGACTCGAACCTGCCTTTAATTAATTAAGGCAGAGACATGACGCCAGTGGAATTGAAGCTCGCGCCGCGAAAACCTCGTTGTCGCCGTCCACGGATCTCCGCGTCAGGGGAACTATCTGGTTATATTCTGCGAGAATTTCGGAGTTTGCCAGACTGCTCCCCCAGTTCGGTCGAATAGACGTCCAAATCGGATATTCCCCGTTAATAAATTTCTACTCATCGTTCCGAGCACACGAAATCTCGCGCCCGAATTCGTCAAACACGTTCCATTCGACACGGTTTCGCCTAAATTCTCCAATGTACAGGGTGCTACGAAAATAGGGCGCGAAAAATGATCAGTTCGTATGATTCTACTGACGCGCACCGCACAGAATCGATAGTGATATTTTTATTCGAATGTTTCTTTATGTATTGTGTGTATTTAGGGTATCTTTGAATGCGTTCGCGAAATACTACACCAGAATCGGTGATTCTTTCGTGGTGAACCGATGTGCCGTCGGAGAAGATTGTTGAAAAACGCTACACACTCACAAGGGAGGCACCGAAGTGTCTCCCTCCGATTTCGATGAAACTTCGTATGTCTGTTAAACAGTCAAAAATAAGGGATACGTATTTTTTTTTATCGGCTGAGACGCGACTTTAAGGGATGAAACCACCCCTCGAAGTTTCGATCCGAAATTTTATTGTTATAAACAAGTTATATTTTGGACAATTTGTTAGCACCATATTATTCTACATAAAAAAACCGCAAACCTCATCCATTAGAAGTTTTCATGTATCTCCTCTGGTTTTCGAGATAGTGCTCTCTTTGTTCGGGAGCTTGCAAGCGTAGGGCATAAGCTCCGAATCGGGGTTACCTTTCTTCGCGAGGAACCGGACCGACCGATTCCCATCGTTGATCGTGCCGAAAAAGCATCGTTCGAAAACAAGAGTGGAGAAAGGTGTTCGTTTCGTTAATCGTGTCCGAAGGAAACTAGTGCCGATGAAAGGTGGTGGTGCGACGCCGTGAAAGCGACGCCGGCGAGTCGCCTCTTTCACTGGCACCGTTGCCAGCGCGACCGACGTACCGAAATCCGCTTTTGCTATCGACCTAAACGTCGGAAAAATCTGGCGAGACGACGACCCCGCGTTCTCTTGCCCGTGTGTCTCTTTCTTTCTAATAATTCACGGGGAGCGGGAACGATAATGTTCCCAGTCACCCGTGTGTGTCACCACAGGGAAAAAGAGCACTGGGGAAACACGAATTTCTGGGCAACCGCGGGCGCCCGTAACGGCAACGCCGAGAGACTTCCTCGATGAGCTGGCAGAAAATTTTTAACGGAAACTGTTCCTTGGTTGGTAGGGATCTCGCTTCGGGCAACCTTCGGAAACTTTCGAAATTCCAAAGAAATGAAACCCGGATAAAGAGAGGGAATTTCGGAGCGGAAGCATAGTAGCAAGAGCCTCCAGCCGTCTGGTGGTGTGTGTGTGTGTGTGTGTGTATATATATGTCACACCACGTGACGCGCGAAATCATTCTATAGGCGGGGGGAGGGGGATAGTCGAAACGAGAGATGGTCCCCACGAACAATTTTCGAACGGACCGCCTCTTTTCCGCGGCGATCGTCGTCGATCACTGGGCAACATGAGAGAGTAAATATACTATCTGGAATTGTAGCTAGTCTCGCGAGGGGGCCATACGGGTAAGTACACACGAACACACACACATACAAACATAGTAGGACGGCTCACGGTGGGTACGTGGTGGCCAACTGGCGCGCCACGGGTTCATTGTCCCGTGTGGTGTGCCCGTGTGCGCTGGAAGCCCCGTCCGTTGAAAAGGAGGGCCCCCGAGTGTGTATCGGGCGTATTATGTCGACGGTGTATATACCAGAAGGCTGTAATCACGACTTACCAGTTGTCCAACTTGATCAGCTCCTCGGGTTTTTTCGTTTTCCGATCCGCCTTCAGTCGGAGTGCCTGCGGATATAGCTTCAGTACGTGTTCGAACTGACTCGCGGTGCCCTCCGCGAAGAAAGTCGCTGTGTCTTTCACGGAAGCCATTGTGATAACTGCGCTTCGAGGAATGGCCGTCAGGGCGCAGCAGAGACGCGCCTCCGTGCACCACTACCCGTCTCCGTTGCTCGCCCGGCGACGCGCTCTGTCCCGCTTCCTCTTCTGCCCACTCTCCTCTCTCCTGTCTTCGTCGAGAGCAGGGTAATCTCTCGCTTCCTTTTTTCCTTTCCTTTCGTTGTCTCCCTCTCTCGCTCCTTCGCGGTACCCCTCTCCGCGCGTGCCTCTGGAGAGGACCGACCACGCGAGAAATCCTATTTTACCCTCTGCCTCGTTCGAATTCTCTTGGTTTCACCGGCGGCGGTGATACGCGACACACACGCGTGGGACGCGTCTCTCGTTCGCGATCGGCGCACGCACGCACGGTTCGTTGCTGTACAGGAGGAGCGACCGACCGACGTTGACGATAGCACCAGTCCGTACAAAGAGCAGACGTTTACTATCACACACACACACAGTCTCTTGATCTCTCTCTCTCTCTCTCTCGGTCTCTCTTGAACTGTGTGTAGTCTGACGTTCCGTCTCCTTCTTCCTTTAGCTGTTTTTTTCGATTTCCTTGTCCAACGGGGAGGGTATATTCTTCACGCGGTCCAAGGACGAGACGATCTAGGACGATATTTACCACGGTATCGAGCGCACTGTGGCTACGTTTATGCGCGGTACAAGGTACGGGTTCGCAGAGCTACGAGGTCTCGTCCGTACACTCTCGTAAGGGAAAATCACCGTAGTTACACGCCGAGAACTCGCCTTCGGACCTCGTTCGACTGTCCCGGGTGGGGAGCGCGACTCGACGTCGCCTGTAGGTAGCAGCACTGCTCGGCGTGTTTCTGACTCCTCTCCTCTCTGATAGGTTCCCCCTCTCTGCGTTCTTCTATCACTCCCTCTCTCTCTCTCTCTCTCTCTCTCTCTCTATAGCTTGTCACGTCCTTCCACCTCTTTCCACCACCCTTATTATTTGTACCCGAAAATTTCAACCGTTGCGTGCGACTCTCGCTCGGCCACGCACGAGGGGATCAACGATACGAAAAACGGAGCAACAATGACAACAACAATGCGTTTACAGTGGTACGGGCGAGTTGCGATTCAAGCTTCTGGATACACGATAAATACGAGAATTTCTGAGATACGAATGTCGGGGAACAGCAAAGAACCTTCTCTCCGGTCTCTCAAGAGTTGTGTTTCTTTCGGCGCCAGACCCTTCCTCTTTTTTATTTTTTCCCTCGCTCTCCGACAGAACTTCGGATGTACGGGAACGCGTGCGGATTCCCCGCCGGATGTTCACACAAAGTATGGACGGTCTACCCCCACCGTCGGACCCGTCCGTACACGCACGTATGCACCGATCTACCGATAGAACTCCTCACGGAATACACACGGTTCCTCGCTCGCCGTACTTCGATCGTCTGCCGCGACGGACTATTCACGCGCGGCGTTCCGTTCCACGGTCGGGGGGCACACGTACCCCTTTCTCCCTTTATTTACTCACGAACGTCTCTGATCCACCCGCTTGCCAGGAGACGCTGTACCGACTGATCCCATGGAAACGTTCCTGTGTCTTCTTCGTGTACAGCAGGAAATGTTCACGCTCGAATGTCGACGAAATACTGCTGACGGTTTCATCGACGGAACCGAGCACACGGTGATGACAATAAAACGACGAAGCGAAACAGCGATGTAAAATCGCCGTCTCTATTTTTCCCTCGCGAAAAAACGGACACGATTATCCTTTATTGCACGACCGTCCCTCTCTTTCTCTCCGTACGAATATCACCACGTTCGATGCTATGTTACGCGTGCCTGTCTCTGCACGACTTCTCTCTCTCTCTCTCTATTGTCTGTCTGTTTCTCTCAATACGACGGTATACGTGCAATTGCGCGCGCGCATACGACCGACTGAGCGAACGAAAGAGCGGGCAGAACGAAGCTCGAAGCCTTCGCTCGAAAAACGGGAACACGGAGCAGTGCGCAAGGGACCACGGTATAGTCAATCCGCTCGCTCTCCTCTCTGTGCTGACTGTAGTGAAGCGGACGACCGACTGAGGGCAGCGCCTTCGCTGCCTTCTGCTCGCGTCCCCTTTTCCTCTTCCCCCCCCACGGGACGCGCTCGGCCTCTACCCGCCAAGCGGCCGACCCTTTCTCCCCTCTACGCGCTATTTGCTCCCACTCGATCATCTCTCTCTTGCTCGCTCTCTCATGCTTCGTTCAGTGCGCCTTTCTCTCCCTCTACACGGTTAGGAACTTCATCGATCTGTCTCTGTCTAATATGAAAAACGAAAGAAGAAGCGCGCACACACAATGATTCGTGACTCTTTTATTACACATGTATGATTAATGCCAAAATATTCTCCTTTTCGAAGAGGCAGATCAATGGTGTGTACGATTTCTCGCGCGACCCTTCCCTTCGTGGGACTACACCACGAGCGATGGTGAACGCTCGATACCTTCCTCTCGTGAAGGCGCGTATATACCGTTCGCTCGATCGCGCTGGGTCGTCCGACTGGAAATCGATGCTAAAGCTGGGGGTAGAGGCGCGTCAGTGCCAGTGGTGCCGTACCACGGCTGGCACACACGGCACTGTGTGTACACACATACGTGAATCGTGATCGTGTGTGACGCGCCAGAGCCTCTATACGCGGTGGGGAACACCGTCGCTCTATACGCCACAAGGTTAAACCGTGTGGGTAGAGACGGGGTTTGTAATACGCGGAGCGAAACTTGTGTGTGCGACACGTCACGGTCTACGAATACGTGTATGCCAGAAGTGGCTCGACGAACACGACGACGAACACGTACGAAAGGGCATATGCGACGAGAGAGGGAGAGCCCGCAACCCTCGTGTCATGAACATTTTGAAAAAGCCCTACGAGGTTTGAAATCTCCCCGGAAGGATGACGATTGCACGGATGTAGATCGAGTGAAAGGAGAGGGGTTTTTTTTATGGCTGCGGAGGAAGATCGCGAGGCGGATGTCGGGGCCGTTGCGAAACGATTTCACAATTTTGTAAACGGCACGGCATGCGCGCTCTAGCTTCGTGCTTGCGGGCTTAACGGACGCTCGTTCCGCGAAGCTGTTAGTTGAAAACACGATTAAGGAAATACGAAACCGTCAGAGCGATTACGTTTCAAGAAATTCCACAATTTCTAAAAGCATTTCGCCAACGCCTTTAAAAATTTCGGGGAAAATTTCTTATTCGAATCTTTAGATTTATCGTTGTCACACCGATGCCATTTCAATTTCTTTCGTTCCCATTTTCCTTTGTGGCTCGTAAGTTGTCAACTTTCCTATTCGTTCGTTTCTTTCTTCCTAGCGTCTGTGACCGTCGTGGCAAAATTGCAAGTACCCGGGAAACTTAGGACTGTTTCCTTCGAAACTTTTGCTAAACACACATACACGTGTATTTCGCGCGAGGGTTCGTCCGCCCGCTTGCGCTGTGTGTTCGCCACGTGAGAAAACGGGCGTCTTTGTATGAGCGCGCGGCATACGCCTATACGTACCGCATGCTACGCTGTGTGGTAGAGCGCGTTGGCATATAATCAGTCTCACGTCTGTGTGTGTGTGTGTGTTGGGTCGATGATACTGGTGTGTGTGCCGTGTGCGCAGCGTGTATCGTCGTGAGATCTCGCTCCGCCACCAACCAACGAGTACCGTAGCGAACGCCTCACTACCAATGCCAGCATCACCACCACCGACATGAACCCTGCATGTAACTGCCAGTCCCTCGGCTGTGTGTAGTCGGTGGAAAGTGCCGAGCGAGCGCTTGCGCTTCGGTAACTTTCCATTGTCGTTGTTCCTTGCAACAGCAAGGAACGAACAAACTTACCGAGAATCTTTTGCGAAACTTTCGGATCACCGGTTGGATTGCTAAATTCGGAGATCTATACCGGGAAAATGCAGAATTTCTTATCATCTTTTTCATTCTGACACGTTTCACAAGTTAAGCGGCGCGAGGAGAACGTTGTTGGCTCGACGCTGCGTTCGACGTTCGATCCGACGCGACGCGACGCTAGTAACGCGTTCAAAAGCACTTATCATGGATTTCATGTTCTCTCAAATGAAACAGGGTGGGGGTTTACGTTCAGAATTTTATCGGTGTCCTTCTCGATTGCAATATCCTCTCCAAGGTCTGCCAGGGGATTCGTGTTTATGCCAAGAATTTGGAAAATCGTAGGGTCGAGACCGTCGAACCAGGAATTTAAAGCTTCGGCAGGTATGCGCGCGTGTACAATGGTGTGCCAGGTAGTCGGATACCCTGTGTTGGGGGTTGGATTGCAGTTGGCCTTACGGTCAGAACCGACTGTGCTGCGTTCCAAGAAATGTTTACTTGCGCAGAAATTCTCAAACAATTTCGTAAAAAATACTCATTTATAAAAGGAACTATTGTATTCCTACGTTTACCGATAAAGGAACGGAAAATAAACTTTCGAGATATCTCGACAGTTTCGATTTCGCTGCAACGTGGACACGCGAATGTGCCGCTTACCGCGATTTTAAATGTCCGTCGGGGGGGGGGGTGGAGAATCTCGTAATTAATACGCGGGGGAATATTCGGTGGTGAGAAACGAGCGATTACTGGAACTCAACCCCGTACACGCCTAGAACGAGTCGCGGGTAATGTTACAGGGGCTGGGGGGAGGGGCAGACAGAAGGGGAAGACGAAGAGAAAGGCCGGTTTTCTTCCGAAGCGCTTTAGCACAGGCAGGAGAGAACCCAGGCAGCCGGCTATAAGCCCCGCATCATGGCCGTCCAACTCACCGTTATGTGCCGAGCATCGGCGAAGTCCTCGTGCCCCCTATACAAAAGAGAGAGGCCCGACCCCTTCTGTCCCTCGGGCGCTTGAAATTCAACCCCGGCACTGGCGACCGCTGCAGGGTTGCCAGATTGTGCGCTGCCGGGACACACGGTTGCAACGTGCCGTTATCGATGCTTACCGTCGTGCACACACACACACACGGACACACACCAGGGACAATAACCTAACCTCAAATTCAGCTGTAAAACGAGCACGGCTCGGTTCTGTTATCAGCAGCGTCGAACCGCAGAACAGTCCTCTCTCGAAATTGAACGAGTGGTTTTCAAAAGCGTCGGGTTTTATTCTACCTCGTTGTTTCACCAGTGAACACGCATGAAAAGTATGTTAATGAGAGGATGACACATTGAGAGAAAAATGTGAAGAGCGCACAGAACAAATTTTAAACATGCGTGTTACAATGTGGTTCGATTCGTAATCCATTTAACAGGAAAGGAACATGACGTTGCTACAAGATTCTACGGCTTTCCGTCGGTCCTTCCCGAAGACCGACCCGTAACTAGCTAATTATTTGTTGCCAGCAACAGGTCACCACTCTCTTATGTGTCTATATTTTACCCGGAAGAGCTGGTGTGCGTGGTTCGTAGAATAGTAATAACGTCACGCGCCTATGGGGTCCAGGTTCGTTATTTCTTACGAGCACGTGCGACAATAGAAATATATGTATTGCTACTCTAATTACTTAATCCTTGCTGCTCCTGGCTGCTACGCGTGTTTCCATTCCCCGTAAAACATCGTCGTAACTGTTAAATTAATAATAATAATTGGGTCGTACGATCGAAAACCATGAATCATTTTCCCAGCTATATTTTAAAGGCGTGCACGCGAGGGTTCCGTGTAGCTTTCAAGCCGACGTTTTATCAATTTTATCAATTTTATCAATTTCAATGATTATTATTTTAAACTACTTCAAAATACTAAGTGATGTTACCGATCACCGTGTGGATTTGCAAGAACGAGGTACAGGAGCGTATAGTAGCCCGTGAGCGGCTATATCGCGTCTGAAATTACGGTTCGCATGCGTAGAGTATACGTATACGATCGCCGCATCCAATACGAACACGTGTTCGGATGCTCGGCTGCTATACACGAGGAATACGCGACATTGTCGCCGAGCGAAACGCGACATGTGGGCCACGATGATGCGGCGAAATGTGTGCGGATAGAGCATAAGGCCAGTCGGCCGAGGGACAGGCACGACGGACGGAGCTCCGCTTTTATCGTGGGCCAATCCGAGCGCTGTGACCTTGGGTAACTCTAGAGAGAGAGATATATTTAGCTGTGAGCGGCTCGGAGCTGCTGGTAGGCACTCCTCGGCTACTGCCGAGCTCTCCCTCGCGCTTCGGAGTCCTCTTTAGAGCGTAGAGACCTCGCAGCGACAGAGATAATCATGGGGGAGAGCATCGCCGAGGGAAACTCTGTGGACGCAAGGGGTTGACTGTCCCTCGACTGAAATCCACAAAAACTCGACCGTTTTCCGAAATATCGCGTTTCTTGCCTACGTCCGTTGTTTTCCCGGCGTTGCGACTCTCGTTTTATTTCCGAGCGCGCCTGATTTTCTGTAAATGGAGATTTCTATAGACACGTTTCGTGTTTTTCTTTTC